GGAGTGTCTGAGGAGGAGAGCAGGAACCCAGTACCTGGGGGCCCCCCTGGGCCAGGCCCGGGAAGAGCTGCTCTCCATCACCCAGGGGGGCCATCGCCGGGTCGGAGCACTCAGAGGTCACACCAGAAAAGGCCAGACCTGGGGAAGAAACAGCAGAGTCACTCCTTCCCACGGGCTGTCTCCCCATCGGCCAGGTCACTGACGGGCTGGGCTGGACCTGGTTCTGAGGGAAAGGCCTCCGTGATAATGGCAAGAAAGCTGGGGAGGGGAGGGGCGGGGAGCCGTGGGGATCCACACTGAGGGGCTGTCCTTACCTGGGGAGCCCAGGAGCGCCGAGGCAAGGAGCAGGAGGACCCAGGAGGCCATGGTGGGCAGCTGCCCAGGCAGCCCCCACGCCCCGTTTTATAGAGGCTGGGAGCCCTGCAGTCTGACCTTGCCGCGTCCTTCTTCTCTGATAGGTCACCTCCCCACGTCACAGGGTTTACCACAAACACCAATTTGGGGAGAAGAGGGGGGAGTAGCGGTACCTCGCAGGGGGGTTCCATGCTCCCTATTGTCCCGCACACACAGACTAGAACAGGGGGGGCAACCTTTTGGTGAGTGCGTGCCAAAACCAGCAAAATCTCTGACTCAAAATTCTTCTGCACGCCAACCCTAATTTTTTGAAAACATGTTACACCTACTTGATATCTCTTAAGGTGTACGTATATGAAGAACCTTGAAGAAATAATAAAATTCATTCGAGTGACAAAAACACAGTATATGATGATGAAAAATACATTTATTTTTTAATGTATACATGTACATTGATAGTCCGACAGAAAATTTTATGACTCCATTTGATATTATCAGTGGGACTTTTGCTGCTGCATCACTGATGACAGAGCTTTTACATCAGGTTTATATTTTGTAACCTTCAGAGATATGCACGAGCTACTACTTTCATCCATCAGGCTACTCCTATTATGAGACTTAACAAAATTCATCACTGAGAACAGAGATTCACAAGCGTATGTGGATGAAACCAAAACACTGGTTGGATCTTGGAAGGCAGGGAGAGTTAAGGCAGAAGCATAGAAATTGCTCTTCCCCTCTCTGGTCAATCCATGTCTATGGTCTTTAAGATAACTTGTTATGCAAAATTATTTATTTATCTAAGATACACCTACACTGAATTTATGTGAAAAATAAAAAAGTCTATATTAAGAAAAAAATTGTAAATGGAAGATTATAAGAGAGGGTTTTGCGTGCCAGCAAAAGTTACTGGCGTGCCATGTTTGGCACGCGTGCCAGGAGTTGCCCACCCCTGGACTAGAACTTTCTGAGCTGAGTGGGTGGGGAGACTAGACCCCAGCTTCCACCTCCTTTGGGGTCTTTCACCTCCGGCTGCAGAGATGGGAGAGGCACCTGCCAGGACCCTCCCGGAAGCACGTCCCACCCAGGCCCCTCAGTGCCATCGCTAGGGAGCCCACCCAGCCACTGCCCAGGAGGCCCAGCCAGGCTGAGTCCTCACCGCAGCACAGCCTCCTTGTCTAGAACACGGCCCTTCCCTGAGCCCTGCAGGGCCTCCACTCAGCTTCTGTGAGCGGACAGGGGTGGAGTCTCTTTTGCTGCCACACTGAGCAAACCTGGGATCCTGCCGGGAAGAATAAGAAGGAATGGGAATCGGGTTGGCAATAGCAGTGTCGGCTACAGGAGGATTGCTTGCTAAAAGGCATTTTAAAGGAAGAGTTGATTGGCCTTTGTAGCTAATTGGATACAGGACACAGAGGAGAGAAGCACAAGTTTGGCAATATTTGGGGCCTGGGAGGCTGAGGGACTGGTGGTGAAGCAGAAAATGTAGGAAAGGGAGCTTGTTTGGGCAAAGCTGAGTCTGAGGTACTGCATTTGTCTCCACCTCCAGGTGGACTGTTTGAAGGCAAGGCAGGCCCCACGGTCAGGGTGCCCACCATGCCTAGAACAGCCCTCAGACCAAACGGTCAATTGATGCCAAACTCGATTCACCTCATACAAGGAAACCAGGGCTCAGACAGGCCCAAGGACACACAGCTCTGAGAGGACAGGTGTGAGGATCTGAACCCAGGTCCATCAGACTCCAGGCCCTGAGTTCTCTCCCACTCCACACAGGTCCTGTCTCTAAGTGTCCAGGGCAAAGCTGTTACCGCTCTGACAGCAGCTCAGACAACATCCCCCTCCTGTCCTCAGCCCTCTTCATGACCGAGGCCTGCTCTGAGCACTTGTGGAGACCTTGGGCTAATGTGTGAAGACCACATTAATTAAGGGGAAACGGCCCCGGAAGGTGACTCATGTCTCTCTTTGTTGTGGAGTTTGCGGTGAGATCAGATCAAACATTCCAGTAAGTCCTTGCTTGGGGTGTTGAGGGTACAGGACACAGTCCCCACAGTTAGTCACAAGTCTCTACCCAGGCCTCGGGGGTCCGGTGTGAAGAACCCCCAAGCAGGCCCCACTGTCTTCCTATTGGTGGGATCTGTGGATGGTACATGGCAAGCCAAGCCCTGGCCCAGAGTTCCTGCGTGAAAGTGACTGCTTTCTGTGTCTTCTTCAGGGACTCTCTGCTTCCTCCGAGGTCATGGAGATGCCCTCTAGTTTTCTTCTAGGAGTTTCATCGTTTTTAATTTTTACATTTAGGTCTATGATTCATCTCAAATCAGCTGGGCTGAGGTTCCATCGTTTCAGATCAATTTGTGGGTCTATCTATGAGCTCCTTATTGTAGCAACGACTGCTTCCACAATAATAAAGCAATACAGTTTTTCAAATGGCACAATATTTGAACAGTTAATTTATAAGGAAGATAAGGATGACCAATAAACACTTGAAAAAGTGCTCAATATCGTAAGTCATGAGGGAATTCTATATTAAAAGTACAAGATAATGGCATCAAAATGACTACAATTAAAAAGACAAGATCTCACTTACATGTGGAATCTAAAAAGAAAACAGATACACACAAAAAACCAAACTCATCGAAAGAGAGAACAGATTGGTGGTGGGTGGAGGTGGTCAAAACATACAAACTTCTAGTTATAAATAAGTAAGTCCTGAGGATGTAATGGTAATTATGGTTCATGATACTGTATTGTATGTTTGGTAATTGCTAAGAGAGGAAAAGTTCACCTCACAAGAAAAAAAAAGTGTGACCACATACTAGTATGCTGATAAATGTTAACCAGACTTAGTGGTGAACATTTCACAATATATACAAATACCAGATCCTTCTGGTGTACACCTGAAACTAACATAGTATTATATGTTGACTAGAGGCCCGGTGCACAAAAATTTGTGCACTCGGGGGGTGAGGGATTCCCTCAGCCCGGTCTGTGCCCTCTCGCAGTCTGGGACCCCTCGGGAGATGACCACCTGCTGCCTTTTAGCAAGAAATCCGGAATTGGGCCTAAGATGGCAATCAGACATCCCTCTGGAAGCCCAGGAGCCCTCGGGGGATGTCCACTTGCCAGCGGGGAGCAGGCCTAAGCTGCAGTAGGACATCCTTAGCACTGCTGGGGAGGCAGGAGAGGCTCCCACCACCACTGCTGTACTGGCAGCCGTCAGCCTGGTTTGTGGCTGAGCAGAGCTCCTGCTGTGGGAGCACACTGACTACCAGGGGGCAGCTCCTGCATTGAGCGTCTGCCCCCTGGTGGTCAGTGTGTGTCATAGTGACCAGTCATTCCCAGTCCCTCTGCTGTTAGGGTCAGTTTGCATATTACCCTTTTATTATATAGGACTAGAGGCCTGGTGCAGAGATTCGTGCATCGGTGGGATCCCTCGGTGTGGCCTGTGCCCTCTCACAATCTGGGACCCCTCAGGGGATGTTGGACTGCCAGTTTTGGCCCAATCCCCACAGGCCAGGCTGAGGGACCCCACCGGTGCATGAGCCTCTAGTATGAATATAAGATCTTTGTTTAATCTCATCCTGCCCTCCCCCCTCCTCTCTTCCCTCTGAGATTCATCAGTCTTTTCCATGTTTCCATGCCTGTGCATTAAGCTTCTGCCCTGTGGTCATTGTGCATCATAGCTACCAGTCTGACGGTCATTTAGGCTTTTATATATATAGATAGAGGCCTGGTTCACGGGTGGGGGCCGGCTGGTTTGCCCTGAAGAGTGTCCGGGATCAGGGTGGGGGTCCCGCTGGGGTGCCTGGCCAGCCTGGGTGAGGGACTGATGGCTGTTTTCAGGCTGGCCACACCCCCTTCAGGGTTGGGGGTCCACTGGGGTGCCTGGCCAGCCTGGGTGAGGGACTGATGGCTGTTTTCAGGCAGGTCAAGCGCCCCCCCCCCAGTGGGGACCCTCACCCCATGAAGGTTTGGCCAGCCTGGGTGAGGGGCTGATGGCTGTTTTCAGGCTGGCCACACCCCCTTTAGGGTGGGGGCTCCACTGGGGTGCCTGGCCACTCTGGGTGAGGGGCTGAGGGCCATTTTCAGGCTGGCCAAGCCCCGTGGCGACGGAAGCTCCCAGCCTCTCCTTTTTTTCGTTTTTCTTTTTTTATTCTGGGGTTTATTTACCTTCTATAATTGAAACTTTGTTGCTTTGAGTGGAGCTCAGAGCCTCCGCAGCAGGTGGGGAAACTTGGCTTCCTCCATCATTGGGACAACCAAGCCTCCTGCTCGCTCCAGCTTCATGGCTGCCGGCCGCCATCTTGGTTGGGTTAATTTGCATATAGTCACTCTGATTGGCTGGTGGGCATGGCTTAAGACATAGCGAAGGTACAGTCAATTTGCATGTTTGTCTTTTATTAGTGTAGATGTGTGAGAGCTGCTGAGGTTGCCATGTCCACCACTTAATCCCCAGCACATAGAACCGAGTGGGGGCCACAGATCACACCTTTACTGAATGAATAGATGAGTCACCCTGACATGCCTCCACCCATCCCACCCCCCACACCCACCCCACAAATCACCAAAGGAAAGAAGCTGCCTGAAAGCTTGCACGTTTTATTCTCCAGAACAGCAGGGGGGCGGGGGTGTCTGGGGAGGGGGAGCAGGAGGAGGGAGGTGAGAGAAACTGGAGGCTGACTCTGGATTTAGGAAGGAAGGAGGGGCCAGGAGCCAGGGCTGGAGTTCTTGTGCTTTCTCCCCAGGGTGGAGCCAGAGGCTAACAGGAGACCTAGAATGCAGAGAAGAGACAGCTGTGGGGTGTGTGGGGTCTAAAGGGAAACGGGGACTCAGAGCCACCTGTTGCTGCTCAGCACACCAGAGCCACATCCTGGAAGCCAGTAGGAGACCGTGCAGGTTGTGGGGCCTTGAAGATAAAAGCCACAGGATCTAATGACAGGAAGCGATGGGGACCGACCACACACTAAGCAGCGACCCCTGTATCTGCAGCATTAGGGCCCAAAGCATCCCTGAGGCTAGAGAAGCTGCCAGGGCCAGTTGTAGGCCCCCTCCAGCCCCAATGTTCTCTCTGGGCAGAGCCTGGAAAGTGCTGGGAAAGGGGCTGGGGGAGCCCTCCCTGCCCAGCAGGATTCCCCAGCCCAGCTCTCAGGCCCCAGGGTCATGGGAAGGATGTGGCCTCGGCTCCCATCCCCAAAGGTCTGGCAGGGCTGGGGACTGGAGTTGATGGGGCTCTGAAGTCAATGAAATATCTCAGTCCCAGGGCATCTCCTGGTGGTTAAGCTCTTTATCTCATTCATCCTCATTCCAACCTCAGAAATAGGGATTATTACCCCCCTCCCCCGCCTTCAAAGATGAGGAACCTGGAGCCCAGAGAGGTTATGTTCTTGCCCAGGTCACACAGCTGAGGGGAGATGGAGACCTGATTTGATGACAGGATTGCCAGGGGTCAAAGCCCCAAGACCTTAGGAGCATTTCCCAAAGCTCTTGGTGAGAGCTTCTCCAACATTTCCAGCTAACGCCCACCGGCCCCACTTCTCCACACTTGCCCATGTTGGAAGTGAGGGAAGTAATGTGTCAAAACAAGGGAGCATGGAGGGACACCCATGAGCTGCTTATGGAGTTTCTATGTGGCTTTTTTGTGTGTTTTTGACCCATGTCACGCCTGCTGGGGGAGGCTGTGTGGGGCCCTCAGGAACCAGGCCCTGCTGTCACCTCTGCACTCACCTGCCTGGGACTTGCACATGCGGATGTCTGCACAGATTTCGAGGGCCCCTTTGCCAGCCATGATGTCCTTGGAGATGCGCTGAAGAGATTTCCTCATGGTGCGCTTGCAGAGGCCTCTCAGGACGCCTTTCACCTTGCTGCACACTCGAGACGCAGCCTGGGCGATGGTATCCTGCAATGGCAGCATCATGGTGGGACACAGGAGCCAGAGGAGCCCTGCCCAGCTCTGCCACCCTGCAGGCCCCGGCAGCATTGGGCCCTGGGCAGCGCTGGGCGGGAGGAGCTGGTGCCAGGTGGCCATGGGAGCAGGGACTGGAGAGACAGGGCCCGGCTCCCACTCCCAGTCCCCAGGCTCTGGCCAAAGGCTGGCCAGTAGGGGCTCTTGAGAGAAGACTATTGGCCCTGCAGGGTTTCAGCCCCCTGTCCCACTGCCCCCTGGCTTCTGAGTGGAGAATGGTGCCATGGCTGCCAGACCCATATTAAAAGTTCTGCCCATGTGGCCTCCTGGGTCAGGGCCTGGCTGGTTCTCCACCTACAGGGGGTGTGTGGGAAGGTCAGGAGGCGATCAGAGCTTGAAGCCTTGGCACCTGTGATTTTAAAGTGTCTTGTTCTGCCATCCCCGTGGAGAAAGACACATCTGCATACCCAGGCCTGAGGGTGGGCCCGGCAGTGCCAAGATGCTCAGCGGGTTGGAGGAGTGAGGGAGAGGGAGGGAGAGGGAGACCATGGTTCTTGGTCGTGACACATCCCCCTGTAGGCATTTATTCAGTGCCCGTTGGGTTCAGAGCATAGCCCCCCACCCCCTTCTGCTCCTGTAAGGGCGTAGGCGACATGCCCAGTGGAAATGATTGTCCATCTCATTCCACAGATGAGAACACAGAGCCCGGGGTTCGTGACTCCTCAGCCCACGCAGCCAGTTGCAGGTCTGGGATTTACCAGGGCTGACTTGGGCCCTGGTCCCGCCTCCCAAAGCTCTGCCCTGAGAACTGCCCGGAACCATGGCCGCTCCTCCTCCCACGTCCACACTCCCAGAGTGTCGTGATTTCCCGGGTTTCTCTGAGGTCCATCCACAGACGCTGGAGGGACCCGGGAGCCCCTGCGGGAATCCAGGGAGATCGGCCCAGGCCGCCCAATCCCTGAGCAGCAGGCCGAGGCCCCGCAAGCCTCACCTCATCAGGATCCTCCCCCACCATGTCCAACAGCTGCTGGATTATCCCCTTGCACAGCCGACAGGTGACGCCCTTCTGCTCCCTTGTGGTCGGCAGGTCACCCTGTCAGGAAAGGAAGGCCCTCGAGGCGTCTCCCACACACTCCCAGGCCAGCAGGTTCATCTGTGATCTTTCTGTCCTAAGGGCCTGACAAGGCTGGCTGGCCCTTGACCACCCCCCCACCCCCCCGAGAGACCCCAGGACAACATGTCTGCCAGCCTGCATGTACCCCTCTCCTGCTCTCCTGTCAGACACCAGAGGGCCCTCTTGGGGAGGGCCTAGCAGACCAATGAAGCACCACCATCCTCAGGCCTGGGTGTGAACCAAAGCAGCTCAACCTCCCCTCCTGCTCCCTGCTCCTCAGAGACCCCCAGCCCTTGCCCTGGCATTGTCCCTGGAGGAGAGAGAGGAGCGTCAGAGGAGGTGAGCAGGAACCCAGTACCTGGTGGCCCCCCTGGACCAGGCCCGGGAAGAGCTGCTCTCCATCACCCAGGGGGGCCATTGCCGGGTCGGAGCACTCAGAGGCCACACCAGAAAAGGCCAGACCTGGGGAAGAAACAGCAGAGTCACTCCTTCCCACGCGCTGTCTCTCCCATCGGCCAGGTCACTGGCAGGCTGGGCTGGACCTGGTTCTGAGGGAAAGGCCTCCGTGATGATGGCAAGAGAGCTGGGGAGGGGTGGGGAGCCATGGGGATCCACACTGTGGGGCTGTCCTTACCTGGGGAGCCCAGGAGCGCCGAGGCAAGGAGCAGGAGGACCCAGGAGGCCATGGTGGGCAGCTGCCCAGGCAGCCCCCACGCCCCATTTTATAGAGGCTGGGAGCCCTGCAGTCTGACCTTGCCGCGTCCTTCTTCTCTGATAGGTCACCTCCCCACGTCACAGGGTTTACCACAAACACCAATTTGGGGAGAAGAGGGGGGAGTAGCGGTACCTCAGGTAGAGGGGGGTTCCATGCTCCCTATCGTCCCCACACACACAGACTAGAACTTTCTGAGCTGAGTGGGTGGGGAGACTAGACCCCAGCTTCCACCTCCTTTGGGGTCTTTCACCTCCGGCTGCAGAGATGGGAGAGGCACCTGCCAGGACCCTCCCGGAAGCACGTCCCACCCAGGCCCCTCAGTGCCATCGCTAGGGAGCCCACCCAGCCACTGCCCAGGAGGCCCAGCCAGGCTGAGTCCTCACTGCAGCTCAGCCTCCTTGTCTAGAACACGGCCCTTCCCTGAGCCCTGCAGGGCCTCCACTCAGCTTCTGTGAGCGGACAGGGATGGAGTGCCTTTTGCTGCCACACTGAGCAAACCTGGGATCCTGCCGGGAAGAATAAGAAGGAATGGGAATCGGGTTGGCAATAGCAGTGTCGGCTACAGGAGGATTGCTTGCTAAAAGGCATTTTAAAGGAAGAGTTGATAGGCCTTTGTAGCTAATTGGGTACAGGACATAGAGGAGAGAAGCACAAGTTTGGCAATGTTTGGGGCCTGGGAGGCTGAGGGACTGGTGGTGAAGCAGGAAATGTAGGAAAGGGAGCTTGTTTGGGCAAAGCTGAGTCTGAGGTACTGCATTTGTCTCCACCTCCAGGTGGACTGTTTGAAGGCAAGGCAGGCCCCACGGTCAGGGTGCCCACCATGCCTAGAACAGCCCTCAGACCAAACGGTCAATTGATGCCAAACTCGATTCACCTCATACAAGGAAACCAGGGCTCAGACAGGCCCAAGGACACACAGCTCTGAGAGGACAGGTGTGAGGATCTGAACCCAGGTCTATCAGACTCCAGGCCCCGAGTTCTCCCCCACTCCACACGGGTCCTGTCTCTAAGTGTCCAGGGCAAAGCTGCTACCCCTCTGGCAGCAGCTCAGACAACATCCCCCTCCTGTCCTCAGGCTTCTTCATGACCGAGGCCTGCTCTGAGCACTGGTGGAGACCTTGGACTAATGTGTGAGGACCACGTTAATTAAGGGGAAACGGCCCCGGAAGGTGACTCATGTCTCTCTTTGTTGTGGAGTTTGCGGTGAGATCAGATCAAACATTCCAGTAAGTCCTTGCTTGGGGTGTTGAGGGTACAGGACACAGTCCCCACAGTTAGTCACAAGTCTCTACACAGGCCTCGGGGGTCCGGTGTGAAGAACCCCCAAGCAGGCCCCACTGTCTTCCTATTGGTGGGATCTGTGGATGGTACATGGCAAGCCAAGCCCCGGCCCAGAGTTCCTGCGTGAAAGTGACTGCTTTCCGTGTCTTCTTCAGGGACTCTCTGCTTCCTCCGAGGTCATGGAGATGCCCCCTTGTTTTCTTCTAGGAGTTTTATCATTTTTAATTTTTACATTTAGGTCTATGATTCATCTCAAATGAGCTGGGCTGAGGTTCCATTGTTTCAGATCAATTTGTGGAAAAAAAAATTTTTTTCCCATTGAATTGCTTTGGCACTTTGGTCAGAAATCAACTGACCGTATACATGTGGGTCTATCTATGAGCTCCTTATTGTAGCAACGACTGCTTCCATAATAATAAAGCTATAGTTTTTCAAACGGCACAATATTTGAACAGTTAATTTATAAGGAAGATAAGGATGACCAATAAACACTTGAAAAAGTGCTCAATATCATAAGTCATGAGGGAATTCTATATTAAAAGTACAAGATAATGGCATCAAAATGACTACAATTAAAAAGACAAGATCTCGCCCTGGCCGGTTTGGCTCAGTGAATAGAGTGTCGGCCTGCAGACTGAAGGGTCCCGGGTTCAATTCCGGTCAAGTGCATGTGCCTTGGTTGCGAACACATCCCCTGTGGGAGGTGTGTAGGAGGCAGCTGATCGATGTTTCTCTCTCATTGATGTTTCTAACTCTCTATCCCTCTCCCTTCCTCTCTGTAAAAAATCAATAAAATATATATATTTTTTTAATAAAATATATTTTTTAAAAAAGACAAGATCTCATTTACATGTGGAATCTACAAAAAACAGATACACACAAAAAACCAAACTCATCAAAAGAGAGAACAGTTGGTGGTGGGTGGAGGTGTTCAAAAGATACAAACTTCTAGTTATAAATAAGTAAGTCCTGAGGATGTAATGGTAATTGTGGCTCATGACACTGTATTGTATGCTTGGTAATTGCTAAGAGAGGAAAAGTTCACATCACAAGAAAAAAAAGTGTGACCACATACTCGTATGCTGATGGGTGCTAACCAGACTTAGTGGTGAACATTTCACAATATATACAAATACCAGATCCTTCCGTTGTACACCTGAAACTAACATAGTATCATATGTTGATTATATCTCAATTTTAAAAAATAAATATCTATTGAGCAAGATAGTGAGATGTTAAAAATCACACTAATCACTTGGCACAGAAAGGGCGGGGTGTGGGGAAGACCACACCCAATGTTGGTGAGGGTGTGGAGCAACCGATGCTTCACACATTGTTGGTGGGAGCACAAAACGGCCCGATCACTGAAACTTAAGTTGACACTTTTTCATGGAGGTAAGCATACATCTGCCCAATGACCCAGCCATTCCACCTCTACACTTTGACTCATGCTAGATGAAAACAGATGTACATGCAAAGACTATCTGAGGATGTTCACAGACAGACGGCCCCGCGATTACACTCCTAGAAATATACCAGAAGAATTACACACAGGCCTTCCGATAGATAATTGTACATCAGTGTTCACTGCAGCATTGTTCACAAGAGCCAAAGGCGTAAACAACCCAGGTGTCCATCGACAGGTGACTGGATTAACAGAATGTGGTGCAAATCCGCAATGCAATGCTATCAATCCATAAAAAGGGACCGAGTTCTGAGGCATGTACAACATGAGCGAACCTGAAAACATCATGCTAAGTGAAATGAATATTGTATGATACCACTCACATCAGTCGTCCAGAATAGACAAGTTCATAGGAACAGAAAGCAGAGTAGAGGTTACCAGGGACTGCGGGGAGGAGAAATGAACGAGTTTCTGTTTGAGATGATGACAATTTTTCTGGAAATAGATATTGGTAATGGTGGCACAACATTTTACAGGTAATGAATGCCACCGAATTGTACATTTCAAGTGCTCAAGATGGCAAATTTTAGTATATATATTGTACTACAATAAAAAAGTCAAAGGAAGAGATTATTGCTAAAATGTTTCATTAGAACCAAAAATGATAAATAACCCAAATGCCCATCAACAGGTAAATGAATAAACACACTAAGGTATATAATAAATACTCCTTGGCAATAAGATGGAATGATTGCTGATACATGTAACAAAATAATGAATCTCAGACACGGAGCAAAAGGAAGTCAGACACAAAAGACTAGGTTCTATATGATTTCACTTATATGAAGTTCTAGAACAGGCAAAATGCATCTATGGTGGGGAAAAAAGCAGAAAAAATGGTAAGATATGAGAGGAGAATGTGGGAAGGGCACCAGGGGGCCTTCTGAGGTGATGAAATGTTCTATATCTTGATTGGGGTGTGAATTGCATGGTATATGCATCTAAAAACTCATCGCATTGTCCTAGCCAGTTTGGCTCAGTGGATAGAGCACTGGCCTGCAGACTGAAGGGTTCCAGGTTAGATTCCAGTCAAGGGCACATGCCTGGGTTGCAGGCTCAACCCCCAGTAGGGGACATACAGGAGGCAGCCAATTAATGATTCTCTCTCATCACTGATGTTTCTATCTCTCTCTCCTCCCTTCCTCTCTGAAATCAATAAAAATATATGGGGGCGGGGGAGGGGCTCATCACACTACACACCTAAGAACCATATATTTCACTACACGTATGCCCTGTGCTCAGTTGGTTGAGCATAATCCCATGCACTGAAAGGTTGCCGGTTTCAATTCCTGGTCGAGGCACATGCCCAGGTTGCAGGTTTGATCCCCAGCTAGGGTACATGCTGGAGGCCGCTAATTCATGTTTCTGTCTCACATCAATGTTTTTCTCTCCCCTGTCCCTTCCTCTCTTTCTTTTATTTTTTTAAATATATTTTTATTGATTTTAGAGTGGAAAGGAGAGGGAGAGAGAAACATCAATGATGAGAAAGAATAATTGATTGGCTGCCTCCTGCACGGCCTACACGGGGGATTGGGCCTACAATTTGGGCATGTGCCCTGACCAGAAATTGAACCATGACCTCCCGGTTTGTAGGTCGACACTTAACCACTGAACCACGCCAGCTGGGCCCCCTTCCTCTCTTTCTAAAATCAATAAAAACATATTTTAAAATAATTTGCTAATGTTTGAACAATAAAACTAATCAAAACTTACAACTATAATATGAATCATAATTTTTAAATGGGACAGAATTATGACTCAGGACAGCCTCCCTACACATACTAAATTTCATACATTTTTATAATATATCTTTTAGGGTTATGATATTATTTATTAAATAGTATTTAAAAAAATAATAATTCCAAAAAAAGTATTTATACCTCTTTGGGAACATTGTTGATAGATGTTCACTAATTACCTTCCTTTTCCCAACTTTGTTGATATATAATTAACTACACTCACCTGCATACACCTAAAGTGTACAAATTAATGAGTTTTGACACATGTATACAACTGTGAAACCGTTACAGCAGTCAGGAAAGTGAGCATGCCTGTCCCCTTGTGTCCTTTTGGATGGATGGATGGATGGATGGATGGATGGATGGATGGATGGATGGATGGGTGGGTGGATGGATGGATGGATGGACAGACGGGTGGATAGGATGGAATTGATCTGCAAGGAAGAAATGAGGGAAGGAAATCGCATGATGGATGGAATAAATGGATGGATGATTAGAAGGAGCCTCA